CACCTGGGTGTGCTTATAACTATATGTGCAACTATTTATAACTATAGGTGCAACTACTTATAACTATAGGTGCACATACTTTCACCTATAAGTGCATGTAATTTTGCCTTGTTAGCATTCACTTTCCGCAAACATTCATGCACCTGGGTGTGCTTATAACTATATGTGCAACTATTTATAACTATAGGTGCAACTACTTATAACTATAGGTGCACCTACTTTCACCTATAAGTGCATGTAATTTTGCCTTGGTAACATTCATTGATCTGAGTTCAGCGGGTAGTAATACTCCTGAAAACCACTCGCAAAAATTCATACACCTAGGTGCAACTACTTATAACTATGTGTGTAACTACTTAGAACTATAGGTGCAACTACTTAGAACTATAGGTGCAACTAAGTATTGATGCTCAGTGTAAATTTTTACTTGCACCTATAATACATTTTACTTGCACTTCAGTAGTTATTTTGTGATCCAAATATAAGTGGGATCCACTCTCGATTTGGGTCAGGTCAAAGTGAATTCGGGTTCTTCGCAGTGAGACGGAGAGATTGATATTGTACGCTCAAAACGGATAATGGGTGAATGAGAAATTGATTCTCAAAGTAGACCCATTTGAGTTGGGAAGTGAAGGCGGAAAGGCATTAAAGTAGCCTTTGTCTCACATTGGAAAAACAAAGGGATTTGTACCACTATATATACAAAAGTCTTTTAAAGATATATTGAATTGTATAACATAGAGACTCTCTCTCTCGCGCGTGGGAGGAGGGGTGCAAATCAAATTCCAAAACGAGCCTTAAAAGGCTTGACTCGTATATGCTCACACCAGCGGGCACGAATGTCGTTCGAAAAAGTGGTTGGCCTTACGAGCTAAGTTATGTCAATTTTTCATTCGAATGGTGACCTAGTCTACTCGGTTGGAGTGACCATTTGGTCAAGAGTTTGACACTTCTTGTAACTAACCTTCCGGGTACCATTCGCACCACTCTTTGGAGCACCGTTCTGCTCTTGTAACTAACCTTCCGGGTACCATTCGCACCACTCTTTGGAGTACCGTTCTGGGTATTAACTCAGATGTTATGAATTAATTTCAATTTTAAATTTGAGAATTAATTCCCAGGTTAATAGTCGCTTGTTATGGAGGTTACATTGACTGATTTTATTATCAGTTTTAATGTGATGGTTAATGTCAATTTTAAATTTGAGAATTAATTCCCAGGTTAATTGTCGTTTGGTATGGAGGTTACAATGATTGATTTTATTATCAGTTTTAATGTCATGGTTAAATGTTATTTAATCTATCAACTCCTATATAAGTTGTGGTTGAGCAGATGATTTTACATACTGAATGCCTATGCTTTTCTCCTCTTGAAACTCTGTTCTTCCCCCTTCTCAAACCTACTATGTTCATCCTTTGTTCTCGTCCGTTGGGTTCTTTTGTTTGAATGCTCAAACATAGAATCGTAGCTTGTTTTATCTTAATTGGAAACCTAGGCTACAACGCTCCTATCACATTTAGGAGGTAGCAAATAAGATTTTACCAATAGTGTGGGTATCACACGACTCAAGCTAACAACCTAGCCCTTTCTCCTTTCACTTTTGTGTTTGTTATTTTTTGTATAAATAATCTTTTCGTAGGATTATTCCGTAACACTCTATAACATTATCAAAACTAAATCCTTACTCTGTGACATAAGATATATAAATTACTAAATATGACTTTCACTTAAATATATATACATGCACTATCATTTTTTTTAAGGGTGTGCGGGTGACGAGAGTAACTCATAGTTACCATTTGAAAATATACACGTGATAACTCATACTTGTGTATAATATCTTACAAACTACACAAGAGAGATAAATGGTATTACAAAAATCTTGTGTAAGACTCAATCAAAAGGTGTTGATAACAATAATCAATTTTAATTTTTAATTGAAATAAAATACTTCTTTACACATTATTATTTTATATAGTCGGCGCTAGCTAGCTAGATATCTTCGCATGATTATATTAAGTATGGTCACAGGTCATCCATCCTAAGCTACAACGTTGATATTATTATTTTTTAAAAATAAAACATTAGTGCTAATTACTATGATTTGAATGTTATTATTGTTAAGCTGTCACCTTTTGTTGAGCCAACTAAAACCAGAGCATAATTATTTGAATTACCAATATTATTATAAGTTTGAATCTTAAATTTAAGACACTCATCGTTTTACCTAAAGCCTAGTAGAGAATATAATATAAATTATATAATATGTCTTAACTGACCTAGCGATTCGACTATTAATTAAATGCTTGTATATTAATGTTAACAATAATGCTAAATTCATACTTTTTTTTTTCTTCTTTTTTGTCTTTGATGATATTCGAGCCTTGTACACTGCAATAACAACTAGAAAAGCAAAGTTTTAAAATTTAATAATAATAATAATAATAATAATAATAATAATAATATTATTATTATTATTATTATTATTATTATTATTATTATTATTATGTACAAACAAAACAGAGAATGCAAAAAGGAAGGCATGCGACACCAAAACAACTATTTCTTGTGGGTTGTGATAGCGAGGCGTTGCCAAAAAGAGAGAAACGTTATAAACAAAGGGATGGAGAGGGAGAGATAAATATTGTAGTACAAGTACTATATATGTGAGACGAGATTAGTTGTGTCGGTGCTTTTATATATTTTCTCATCCCTAAAGTCCAAGCATTCAATATTCTTTTTTTATACTAATAATTTGACTTGGTGTTAGTAAATCTAATTTATATAAACTATTTGTATTAAATACGTAGTAGAACTTTCAAAAAAAAAAAAAAAAAAAAACGGAGTAGAAAAAAGTTTGAATTTTGAAACTAAGAAAATAGGGAAAAAATTGATTTAAAATATTCAAATATTAATTAAATAAGAAAAATCATATTCTCTTCTTGAATTTAACTCTAGCTTTTACAGTGGGTTTGGTTCGCGGAAAATATTTAAGGAAAAGTGAAATTGAAATTTCATGGAAATGAATTTACCGGAAAGATTAATTACATTGTTTGGTTGGAGAAAAATAAATTACTAGGAATATTAATTGCATTGTTTGGTTGGGTTTGAAATTGTAAGGAATAATTAAGAAAAGTTGGTGAGGACAACATTGTCCTACTTGTTTTTCATGAAAAAAAATTACTAAAGAAGAGCCATGGAAAATGTTTTCCTTATTCTTAAGAAAAACGTTTTCTATGAACTAAACAAAAGAAAAGTCAATTTTCCTAAAATTCAAGGAAAACATTTTTTAACGAACCAAACATGCACACTTATTGTTTTATATTCATTGCCCTGTCCGTCTCTTATAAAGTTACACCGTCATGCTTTAAAAAAGAAATATACTTATTAATTTTATTTTTTTTTTAAAACTTACATTAAACAATTAGTTTGAACATTAAGATGTAAGTTCACGAATGGGTATAGATCAAATATTCATCCACAAATCCAACTGATAATTTTGGGTGACTAAATGTTTGAAAGTGCGCACTTGATAAATCATATTTTAATGTAATAATTTGCAAAAGTACACAAGAGGTAAGTCAAGCTCTGTTTGGCACGCCTTGTTGAAAATTTAACTGAAAATTGAAAAAATTAGAAGCTAATAAGTTAACTAAATAAAATAAAAGTGTAGCAAATTAATTGTTAAATTAGCTGAAAAGTGTAAAAATAATAAAAGAATAAATTAATATATTGTAATTTTAATTAATGAAGGATAGATAATGTCATTTTTGTAAATTAATAAAAATTTAAAAAGAGAAAAGATTGAAAAGCCAAAAACTTTTTTTGAAAATGTTACTTAAGTAACGTGTAAAATAAAGTTATTATTTTAAATTTTTTTGTCTTACAAAATAAAACTTATAGTTTATTTGTAATTTAAAAAAAATTAAAATTAAAACTCTATCACACAGAGTTTAGAAAGATGATGTACAAAAAAAAAACAAACAAACAAACAAAAAAGATTACCAGAATATTAAAAATTAAATTTAACTTTTAAATATGAAAATAATACTCTATCTACAAATCTAATTAATAACTTTACATTTTTTACATTCTACACCAATACACTCAATAGAATGAGAGTAATCTATTCGAGTTTCTATAATGAATTCATTCATACAGACATATAATGGCAACATGAATATATATATATATATATATATATATATATATATATATATATATATATATATATATATATAGACTTGCACTCGGGTGCGAACGGCTCGCCCAGGCGCGAAATAGGAATGGATTCTGTTCGTCCACGTGTCCAGATCTAATGGATGAGAAACACTAATTTTTAAAAAAAATGCGGTGACATTTTCGTAAATAATTGAACATCAAAGTGCAAGTAAAATGTATTACAAGTGCATGTAAAATGTATTATAGGTGCAAGTAAAAATTTACACTGAGCATCAATACTTAGTTGCACTTATAGTTCTAAGTAGTTGCACCTATAGTTCTAAGTAGTTGCACACATAGGTATAAGTAGTTGCATCTAGGTGTATGAATGTTTGCGAGTGGTTTTCAGGAGTATTACTACCCGCTGAACTCAGATCAATGAATGTTAACAAGGCAAGATTACATGCACTTATAGGTGAAAGTAGGTGCACCTATAGTTATAAGTAGTTGCACCTATAGTTATAAATAGTTGCATATATAGTTATAAGCACACCCAGGTGCATGAATGGTTGCAGAAAGTGAATGCTAACAAGGTAAAATTACATGTGTGAAAATAGGTGCACTTATAAGAGATTTTACTTGCACTTCGATATTCAATTATTTACAAAAATGCCACCGCGTTTTTTTTAAGTTATTAGATCTGGGCACGTGTCGCGCGCTGATTCGTTCGCATTTCCTTCCTGGGCACTTATTCGCACCTGAGTGCGTCCCTATATATATATATATATATATATATATATATATATATATATATATATATATTGGGTTAGTGCAACACAAAAATGTTAAAAGAAAATGGAGGAGGAGGTGGGGAAGTCTAGTGGCCAAGTGCGCTGTCTAGGCCATCTTTTTGATGGCTGTATTTTTTCCTCGTCTCTCTCTCTATCTCTTTTCCTAATTTTGTTGCCATTTTTTCTCTCTCTACAACTTAATGTTATAGAGGGAGTGAGGCCGGGAGACAACATATTCATAACAGTCACAAGAATATATAGATAGAGCGAGGCAGTAGTTAGCTGTTGTATGGGAATAGGAGTTGGAAGGGGAGAGAATTGAAGCTATGGAGATGGAGGGTCAGGTCGGCGGCGGGAAGCGGAAGAACGAGAGGCCATACAAAGGAATCAGGATGAGGAAGTGGGGGAAGTGGGTGGCAGAGATTAGAGAGCCTAACAAGCGGTCTAGGATATGGCTAGGGTCTTATTCCACGCCGGTTGCGGCGGCGAGGGCCTACGACATCGCCGTCTACTACCTCCGGGGGCCATCGGCGAGGTTGAATTTCCCGGAGTTGCTCGCCGGCGACGGCGGCGGGCTCAGTGATTTGTCAGCGGCGTCTATTAGAAAGAAAGCAATCGAAGTCGGGTCCAGAGTGGACGCCACTCAAAGCTCCATCGCCGCCGAAGATGACGACCGCAGAGAAAATGCTCCGGCGACTGCCCAAACGCAGCCCGGCATATTGAAAGCTTGCTGGTTTGAGGAGAAGCCCGACTTGAACAAGAAGCCCGAACCCGAAGACCCGGATGTTGATTACTGGTGAGTTAGTAGGTAGTGCGTGTAACTGTGCAAGTAATCAACCAAACCAGGGGACCAAATGTATAATTTATCGTAAGATCAGGGGTGTGTTGGTAAAAAAGAAACACGCCATAGTTTCAACTTTCAACTGAGTAGCATTTCTTTTTATTTTCATCCTTAAAAATCTCAATTATTATTAATAATATTAATATTAATTAATTATTACCAACTACTATAATTTTTTTTTATTTCACTAATTTTAAAGGTTTATTTAATTTTAATGTTTTTCACCCAAGTACGGAGCACTAGTAACTGAAGTTGTCTGAACAGTAATAATATTACCAGGTTAAACGCTTGAATTTCATTATTATATCTCAATTAAAATTTTGTTTCGATAATTTTATAAAATTTTCGTTGAAAACTTGAAATTTATTTTTTAAAATAATAATTTTGATTCAATATATAAATACATATTTAATTTAATGTAGAATATCTGTAACTGAGGCCTACGTACTAAAAATAGAATAGAGCTCCACCTCTATACTATTCTAGTGCGCAGAATTAATAATTCTAATACATTTTAATTTTTTAAAAATAATTTGTAATCTATTACATATAGATGAAATTTATTCATGACACATTTTTAAATATAGTGGAGGGAGAATTGATCTCCATATTAAAACAAAATTATATTGTCCATTTCGAGAATATACAAAAACCTCTTTGAACAGTAGCGGTGCCTGTCGATTCTCATACAGATCCACCCAGAACCCAGCATCCAACTTGACAATAACAAACGTTTTTTTTTTTTTTTTTTTTTAATACTACTGACTCTGTTACAATGCAATATCTATTGTTAATATCATTTTTGAACCCACAATCTCCCATATAGAAAAGCAACTTGGTGCCACTCGACCACATGGTGATTACAAGTTTTATAAAAATTTAAAAATAAAATCATAGTACATGGTACGACTGTAGTAAAATGTAGAGAAATTTTTTTGTTCGAATGAGAGGAAAGAAAACAAGAAAAAGAAAGTGAAGAATAACTATGATGTTAATTTGTTTGTATATTATTATTCGACACAACTAGAAATATGATGGTGGTTTTATATGAAACAAAAATAATTTTAGAAAGAGTAAATACTCAAAATGGTCTCTCGACTATAGCTAAATTCACAAATTGGTCCTCGACTTTCAATTTCAACCAATTAAGTCCTTAACTTTGTAATTTTAACACAATATGGTCCTCTGTCTATTTGACCGTTTGTTGACTGTGATTTTTGAGGATATATATGTAATTTCATGGTCCATCGTTGGTTTTTTAAGGTTCTAGTTGCATTTCTAGACCGTACTGTTACATTTGAATCCACTGCCGAAAGCAATCTACCAAATCCGGTCGTCTTTCTTCATCCTCCCTTTTGATTCAATGTAGTTGAGTTCGTACCAGAGCGAAGAAGACGACGTGTTTCTGAACCAGTGCAACGTCATCCTGGAGGCCTCCACGTGCTCAGACGAGAGCTGAAGGTTCTTCTGGAGATCGTCGATCACAGTCAACAAACGGTCAAATAGATGTTGGACCAAATCGTGTCAAAATTTACAAAGTTAAAGACTTAATTGGTTGAAATTGAAAGTCAAGGATCAATTTGTGAATTTAACTATAGTCGAGAGACCATTTTGGGTATTTACTCTTTTAGAAATTTAGAGAAATTGTAATTGGATTTTAAGAAGAAAGTAATATTGTGGGCAATGTAGGAAGCATGCGGGGACTGAATACCGAGAGTTAGGTAGTATGGGCAGCGTATTGCCATTTTCAACAACCTATCCCACTACGCAACTGCGTTATAACTTACTTTGCATCTGTCGGATGATGTCTTTGCATTACCTAATATATATATCCTAATAAGGAAAATTTTCCACATTACCTCAACCTCCTAGTCGACACGCAATTATGGACATCAACAACAAATCTGCCTTTGCAAAATTTTCAACAATAATACTCCTTAATAATAATAATAATAATAATAATAATAATAATAATAATAATAATGAAATGCACAACCACTTTAGGATCCATGACATGTGAACGCAAATGTTTGTCATGATTATCACTTTCACTGTTCTCAACTGTACTATTGTTTCTCCCTGCCCCTTTTCTCTGCAAACCGGTTGATCACAAAATCTACAGGATTTTTTATAATAATAATTAAGGCTATCTTTATACCTAAAATATTTTCTCACTTTTGTACGTCTTACCTTCGTATCATCAAATTTGCAATTCCTTCACTATTCTCTTTACATCCATACAATACGATAAAATAATAAAATAAAATAAAAAATAAAGTAGAAAAATTAAAGATCATCGCATGTATTACGGCAACCTTTTTTGTACTTTGAAAGCTTGTAGTACACAGCAAAAAAAATATTTAAAAATGTTTTTCCCACTTGTTTATCCACATCACTTTGCAAACCCCATCCTTTCAAGGAAGGGGTCAGCCTAACCTTTAAAAAGATTAGAACTCATAATTACTCCCAACTCAGTAACTTGATGAGATAGTTAGCAAGCAGACTGCTAATATATTTTAACACGATTTATAAATGTTAAATATGATATGTAAATCTACGTGGAACTGATTTTTTTTGCACATCATCATGGTTAATTAACCTCGTCGGCAAATTGGATAAATCAGGTCTGGTTGAATAATTCACCAGTTAAGAGACTAGACTAGAGAAGGGGGGAACATTAGGAAAAACAACTGAGACCTAAATGAAAATGTCCCCAAATAAATAGGTTCCACAATACAAACGCAGTCCCACACTACATGGCCGGATGGAATGTATAAGCTTCATTGTCAACAAAGCTATGTGCATTTGCCGTAGCCTGTAGGTCCCTTGATATATATATTTATATATACTGTCCAAAGATAATTTCAGCTAGCTTAGGTCCCAACGTTTCATCAGCTAATCCCCACATTACAGCTATTTAAACTTCATAAACGTTGGGATCTCACTATGGTGTGCTTTGTGCTGTGCAAATATCACTGTACTTACAGGTTTTTAGTGGTGAATGAATTCGCTTTCATGATATTAGCTCTGTATTTCAATAGATCGTTTTATTTGAAGGGCAGCTCGTACAACATTTCCTCGGGTAATAATTCCTACCTATAAGTGTAATACAATTATCAGTCAACCACGGAAACGTTGAGGATGAAAACTAGTAAAACAATGAGAGGAGGAAAGATCTTACCAGCCTACCCTTGGAATCCACAACAGGAAGTCGGCGATATTTTGTTTTCAGTAGCAATCTGAAAATTAAAGTAACAAATGAATTAGATATCTGACTATATATTCTTAAATGCATGATATATTAACACTTCATGAAGAATTTATAGAGTTAGACTAAATGAAGAATAAATCAGAAAACCTTGCTGCATCCTCGAGATTGGTGGATTCACGCACTGCTAATGGAGCAGGTGTCATCACATCACCAATTACCTTCCCATTGGTTTTGTTAAGCAACATTTGTACTTCATTGAATGTCTGCAATCATCAATCATCAAGTACAAATCTATTTACCAAAAACTTTTTTTAAAAAAAAAAATCCATAGTAAAATAAAAGCTATTCCATCATCATTGAAGTCTTAAGAATTCTTAAGTTTTCAGATCATCATGCAAAATAATACTCCATAAAACCAAAAATAAAAAAATAAAAAATCCAAGAAATACTCTCAAAATTTTTTAGCATACTTTCCAATTGTTATCAACTTCAGGAAATATGTCCACATCAGCTCTTCCAGTACCTAAGAACAACATAGGATTCAATCAAGTATGGTTTAGGGTTAGTTGAAAAATATGTATATAAATCTGATTTCAAGCATTGAGAAGAACAAGGACATCAGAAATGCTTGGATATTTAGGAACAACAAAAACAAACTGTATAAGGAAAATCTTTTTTAGGCAGTATATACTGGTTAAGATGGCCTTTTTTATTTTTATGTTTTTTTTTTTTTTTTTTTTTTTTTCATTCATCTTAAATACGAGCAATATAATTAACATAAGGAAATTAACTAATTAAGTGAAGGCATGGATAGGTTTTCCATAGGGGTCAAAGGAAGAGAAAAAAGGGAAGCAAATGACAGTCCTACTCTCACAATTAAGTTATCTTCCCCCTTCTTGGCAAATTTAAGCAATTAAGGTAAGGCAATTCAGGACAGGCAGGGATAAGGTTTCATTGGAGTTAATGGAAGAGTAAAAGGGGAACTAAGTTGTCATTCTGCTCTTGCAGTTAACTCATATTCAATGATATATTTACCTGATATAGAATCCAGTGCCAACAAGTCATAATCAGATACAACACCAACCTGCAAAAAGATATATTTATTTAGTATAAAATGTGAAAAAATACCATATCATGCATTCATGCCAGAAATGGTATTGAACTGCATAGGCAACTAGCCAACTTCCTAATTGGAAACTGAAAGCATTCAAGCAGGCAAATTGCACCCTTTGTAAGTTACACAAATCAAGCTATAACATAAGATTTAACGTTTAACAAATCCAGATGCCTATCAAGCAATTACATTCAGTGGATATCAAATTAGGTGGCCAGATTTTAGACCTTGGTTTAACAAAGACACATCACACATCTAATAACATAAAAAATAATTATGTAACTGTAGTCTCCAAATTTTGTTTATGTGCTATGAACTTCGAGTTAAGAATAAGAGTTAGGCTCCTATATATGAAACAACAATGCGTGAAATGCTATGATTCCTGCAGCTATATCACTCGGTTAAAGAACATACCAGATTCCAATCATCATCAACCACAGGAAAACCAGTTATTCTGTTCTCTACAAGAGCATCCAAGGCTGCCATGGAAATAATAATGTGTCATCCAATGCAAAAACTTTATGTTGAGTTACCAAGTACAATAGAGCTGCAGTTTCTGGACTTAGCAAGAGCTAAAACAATCTATCTCAATAAACAACCTAAAAGCTCTAGACTGATGCAGGTAAGACTTTCTCGAGTACAAAAAGTATGAACAAACTGGCAAACAGGTGAACAATTTAACCTAAACCATTGACGAAATACCTTCATCTACAGATGTTGATGGCTTGACTACGTGTAATTCTTCCTTTCCCGTCATAAACTCGCCTACTGTATAAACTCCGT